TTTCCTTCTCTCTGGAGTTCAGCTTTTATATTCATGTTTTAACCAAGGCTGTAATTTGGTCAGGAGCTGAGCAACCCTGGCAGAGCCCAGAGTGAGTATGAGTGAGCAGGTTATTACAAAGCAAGTGGTACTTGATAGCACTGTGGATGACACCTACCTTCTCTTTACTGATGGTCGAGAATGGACTGATGAGGCCATAATTGGCAGGGTTGGATTTGCTCTACATTTTGTAAATAGAACAAACCTGGGCAATTTTCCACTCTGTGGGTGGATGCAAGTGCTATAGCTGCACTGGAACGACTTGGCTTGGGCAACAGAAAGTTCTGGGCAGCACAAGTTTTTGGTACTATTGCTAGAATTTTGTCAGGGCCTGTAGCCTTTGCATTATCCAGTGCTTTTGCCTGTTCCTTGATATCATGTGGATTGAACTGAATTGGTTGAAAGACTCTGATGCTGGAGACATCTACTGAGATGTTTCTTTCAATCAGCACTTCTGACTAAATATAATTGCACGTGTTTCAGCCTGTGTGCTCAATATGAGCACCATTAGGGATGGGGAAGTTTGCTGGACCTCTGCCTCCAGTGAGTTGTTTAAATGTCCATCACCATTCACAACTGGATGGTTATGACTGCAGAGCTTAGATTCAATCTTTTGGTTGTGTTATTCAATCGCCCAGTCAAGGAGGCAGAGTATGCAGTAATCAGCAGGAGGCTTCCTTGCCTATATTTGGCCTGATCCCATGAAACTTCATGGCGTCCAGACTCATTGTTGAGAACTCAAGGGCAACACCCTCCCAATTGTATATTACTTAGCTGCTAATTCTGCTGGGTATGTCTTGCTAGTAGGATAGGACATACCCAGGAATGATGGTAGTGCTCTTTGGAACAATTCCATGAGTATGACAATGTCCGGCTATTGCCTAACTAATCTGCAAGACAGCTCTCCCAGTTCTAGCACTAGATCCCTGGAGTTAGTAAGGAAGACTTTGGAGGGTTGACAGGGCTGTTTTTGCCATGTCCTTCAATGCCTGGGTCAATAGCAAGTGGTCTTTTCAATCTTATTCCTTTTTTGAGGCTTTTTAACAGTTTGATGCAAGTGAGTGTTAAACACTGAGGGGTGGCAGTGTGGCTCAGTAGTTAGCACTGCTTCCTGGGTTTGATCCCACCCTCGGGCGACTGTCTGTGTGGAGTTTGCACATTCTCCCCGTGTCTGCTTGGGTTTCCTCTGGGTGCTGTGGTTTCCTCCACAGTCCAAAGATGCGCAAGTTAGGTGGATTTGCCATGTTAAATTGCCCATAGTGCAGGCGAGGAGTGTTAGCCATGGGAATGCAGGGTTACAGGGATCGGTAGGGGGATTGGTCTGGATGGGATGCTGTTCAGAGGGTCATTGTGGACCTGTTGGACCAAATGGCCTGTTTCCACAGTGTAGGGATTCTAAAGCAGAATGGTCCAGAAATATCACTGTCTGGGGAACCCAAAGAATTGGTGCATAAAACCAAAAGGGTAGCATTGTGGCTCAGTGATTAGTACTGCTGCGTCTTCGTGCCAGGGATCAAGGCTAGGTTCCAACCTCGGACAACTGTCTGTGTGGAGTTTGTAGATTCTCCTCATGTCTGCGTGCGTTTCCTCCGGGTGCTCTGGTTTCTTCCCACAGTCCAAAGATGTGCAGGTTAGGTGGATTAGGCATGCTAAGTTGCCCATAGTGTCCAAAAATGTGCACACTAGGTGGATTACTCACAGGAAATGCATGGTTACACGAATAGGGTTGGGGGGGTGGTGGTTGGTCTGGGTCGGATGTTGGTGTGGACTTGATGGGCTAAATGGCCTGGTTTCACACTAGAGGGATTCTATGAAAAGATATTATAGTAGATGCAGGCCATTCAGCCCATTGAGTCTGCTCTGCCACTCAATGAGACCAATGCTGATTCAATAATCCTCAACTTTACATTTCTGCCTTTCCCAATAATCCTTGATCCCCTTACTTACTAAAAATCTGTCTATCTCAGTCATTAATATACATAATAACCCAACCTTCACAGAATTCCATAGACTCAACTACTCTCTGAGAGAAAGAAAAAAAATTCCTCCTCATCCCTTTCTTAAATATGCAAACTTTATTCTGAGATTGTGTTCTCTGGTCTGAGATTCTCCCCCAAAGGAAAACAACATTTCCAAATCTAACCTGACAAGGTTTCCAAGAATCTTTTATGTTTCAATAAGGCTGCCACTCATTCATCTAAATACCAATGAATACAGGCTCAATCTACTCAAACTCTCCTCATATTAGCTTTGTGAACTTTCTCTGTACTGCCTCCAATGCCAATGTGCCTTCCCTTAGATAAGGGGACCAAAACTGTTCAGAGTATTCCATCTGTAGTCTGACTGGTGCCTTGTATAATTTAGCAAAACCTCCCTACTTCTTTATTCCATTCCCTTTGAAAAAAGGCCAACATTCCATTTGCCTTCTCTATTATCTGCTCAGCTTGTAAGCAAGTCTTTTGTGATTTATGCATCAGGTCTCCCAAGTCCATTATGCTGCAGCTTTCTGCAATCTTTCTCCATATAAATGATCTGCAGATCCCCTGCTAAAGTTTCCCCCATTATGTTTTGTCTGCCCAATCACTTAACCTGTCCATATTCCCTCTGCAGCCTCTTTGCGTCATCCTCATCATTTGACTTTCCATCTATTCTTCAATCATCCACAAACTTGGCAATAGTCCGTTCACAATCATTAAATTCATTAATATTTATTGTAAATAATAGTGGCTGATCCCTGTGGCAAACATTAGTTGCAGGCTGCCATTCTAAAATGCCCCCTTTTCACAACCTTCTGTCTTCCATTTGTTAGTCAGCCCTATATGCATGGTAATCGCCAATAACATGGGCTTATCTTATTGAGTAGCCTTGTGTGTAGTATCATATCAAATTACCTTCTGAAAAGCTCTATATATATATTACATCTACAACTTCCCCTTAATCTAACCTGTTTGTTACTTATTTAAACAAATTCTAATAAATTTGTTAGGTACAATTTTCCCTTTGTGAAGCCATGCTGATTCTGCTCCATCATATTATGTATTACTAAATGCTCTGCTATTATATTTTTTGAATTTGGTACAGCATTCATGGGCTGTGCGGGACTTCATAGTGAAGGTGGATCCACAGCAAGTTAATTCTGATGTCAAAACCTAGACAATCTTATTGGGGTATTTGTCCATAACACTTGTGCACTCATGTCACTCAAACAAATAAATAATGCACATACATTTTCCAAAAATGACTACCAAAAATTGGTCATTTCTTGTTTTGAAGCCTAGTCCCGCCTTCTTTGCGTTCTCATCAATCACTTTGTATTGCCCAAGTTGATTTGAGTTTCTTAACTTAAAAATTAGTACCTTTAACTAGATTCAATTTAGTATTATAACATTTTCCAAATAACAGATGTTAAGCTAACAGGCTTGTGGTTACCTATACTTTTGTCTCCTTCCCATTTTAAATAAAGGTGTGACATCAGCAGTTTTCCAATCATCTGAGACTTGAACAGAATCAAAGAATTCCTAGAATATTATTACCATGATCTCTGTGACTACTTCTTTTAATGTCCTAGGATGCATCCCAGCAGGTCTGCAGACCTGTTGGACTGTATCCCCATTAGTTGCTATAACACTTTTTCACTGGTGATAGCTATTGGATTTATATCCTTTTGCCACTGATTATCTGATAATTTTGGAATGCTAGTATTTTCTGCTGTGAAGACTTGTAAAGTATTTATTCAACACCTCTGCCATTTTCTAATACCCCTTTATTTTTTCCCCAGCCTCGTTCTCTACAAGGCCTATGTTAAATTAGACCTATTTTTATATATTTAAAGAAGCTCTTGCTGTCCATCTTAATATTACTTGCAAGTTTATCCTCAAAATTTATCTCATCCTTCTTTCTGTTTGGTTGTTTTTTTTGTTGGTTTCTAAATTTTTTGTCCAATCCTGTGGTTTACCACTAATCTTTGCCACACCGAAAACAACTAGGCTAGTGCATTTGTTTCAGCTAGAAGTGCTTAAGGATGATCCATTTGACCAATTCCAGCGTTTTCTACCATTCTTGGCAACCAGCATCTGGCAGCGTATTTTGCTATTGTAAACATAATTAAACAATGACTTAACCATCTGAATACTTTGCTTTCATATATGCTACCCAATGTCATAAGAGAAATAATAAGTTCGGCTTCACAAATATTTTCTCCAACCACACCCACTCACCCAAAAGCAAGCTCAGCATTGTGCAGGCTCACGGGAAGCTTTGGAGAGAGCACGAATTTTGTCTTATAACAAAGATCAAAACCCAGTGATTCGAACAACCCTTTTCTCACAAGGCGGAGATTTTCTCACAACCTTTTCCTACAGCAATTACTAAAATATCACTGTAATACTAAATGGGATCGAGTTAAAAGTCCTAGCTTTTTAAGTTGAGAAACTCGAATCAATTTGGAACAATATAAAGATCGATTGGAAGAAGGCGGGGCTAAGCTTCAAAACAAGAAATGACCGGTACTTGGTAGTCAGTTTCGGAACAAGTACGTGCAGTAAATTATTTGTTTGAATCACATGAGTATACACAAGAATCATGCACTCATATCGACGAGACTGTCTGCTTTATGTAGCTAGAATTATCTTGCTGCGGTCCGCCTTCACTGTAAAGTCCCACTCGACCCATGAATGTTGTACCAAATGCAAAAAAGTGTGGACGTACTCAGATCGGGTTTAAAGTAACGTTCTGAGATGTACAGTACACAGGAAACGTTTGCTCGTATTTTACATTTTCGTTTCAACTTATTTCTACCCACTTCGCTTTAGAAAACACCTCTGTCCTGTAAATACTTCAACATGACAAGTGCACCTTTCGCTTCTCCTTTTCAACCCAACCAGACGCCCACTGTCTTTTTAAAGACACTTGGCAGGGCGCCTGCCTCCTGTCAATCACGTATTCCACCGGGAACACAGCAACGTCGCTTTCCTATTGGCGATTTGGCGAAGCTAAGCAGTGTCCGCACTGTTATTGGCGTCAGGAGATGTCAGTCATGGAGCGCCGTGCTTCGTTCTTCCTCACTGAGTGGATTCACCAGCGAGAGAAAGAGGAGGAGCAGGGGCGTGTGGTGAACTGTCTGTCTTCAGTCTCAGACAGAAACCTTTGCGCCTTACTTATTTCCCAGACTGGGAGGGAAAGCGGACTCTTTTATTTCTATATATCACCAGATACACTTATATTAAAAAAAAATGCGTCTCCCTCGAAAATGTTGGACATTATGTACCATAAGTATCATAGTCATTTTTTTTAAAACAAAGGACATAACAAGATCGGAGCACCAGCAAACGCAAATGGGGTAATGTGCATTATTATCGTCTTAAATGAAAAAGTGGTGAAAATATATTTAAAGGAGTTTGCTTGCAAATCAATAAATTCAATTGGTTTCGTTGTATTAATGTTTAATTTTAATTAGACAATTAACATTTTAATCCACAAGTGATTTAATTTTACCTTTTAAGAGCTCCTATTATTGCTTCCGGAAGAGTTTTTTTTGTTAAATGTACATTTCAAATTGACTTAATTTTGCTGCCTCGTCTTTGTGGTTTCTTGTACTGACGACATGGCTCGCTAACAGGTTTTTTTTGTGAAGGAAAAGTGTTAGGTTGGAAATGAAACCTTTGTGGAAGTGAATCGGTGAGAAAGGCAAGTCTGCGCTGCACGAAAACCCACCTCAACCCCCCCAAGCCCCCCCCCCCCCCCCAAAACACACATCAAACTCGTGTGAAAGGAAAAGGGCAGGAATTTGATGACAGCACCAAGGTGCCACAGGCTGTGTGTGTGTGTGTGAAATTGGCAACTCTAGATATTGGAAATGAACTGTATTTCTGATCCAGGAGCAAACCTCCTCTAAATTAGTGTCGTCTTTGTGTTTTACTGAGTTGGCATCTCTTTTTCTCCAGTAGGTGGGCTTGTGCCTGCACCTCAGATGTGGTTAGCGCGCCAGTATTTGGTCTGGTGCAGCCACTGAATCGTTGTGATTTGACTGATGTAGTAGCGAAGTCACCGTGAGCTCAGCACTGCAAAAGAACACATTTTTCTTCTGCGTGACGAGTGTATCTCCTTTAGCTGACTTTGCGAGGGTGCAGAACTATTAAGCGATTCTCCTGTTAATATTGATTTGACATTTTAGTTCACTGTTTCATTTACGAAACTGTCATTGCGATTTTAATGGTTTGACTGGTTTCCATGACGGTGCAGTAGGTTATTATTTTATATTAGATTGCTATCGATTTTTTTTTCAACTCTTTCAGTAATTTTACACAAACGCTCTGTCGAAAAAAAAATCTTTTGTTCCGAAACCAAGGCAGGCTGCGGTTCGAGAACGGAAAGTCAGGTCTCAGCATTTATCAGAAAAGTCATATAGTCAAATGTCCGCTGGATGGTGTGAGAGATGATTACCACAAAGCTCTCGCGTTTGCTGAATGGGGAGCTGTGAAGACAAGACAGGCTCTCGGGCATAGTTCACAAGTTAACCTGCGGCTAGATTGCGTGCGCTTGCAAAAAAAGAGAAGTGCCTTTCACAGTATAAACAGGAAAATGGAGCTGTCTGACCAGAGAGATGAGTGAAGCAATCGGTGTGAACAGAAAGATGGTCAGTTGCTATTGGGCAGTATTCCTGCAACGTGCAAGATATGCATTTAAGTAGTTGCCTCGCGTAAACTGGGGTCAATGAATAATTGAAAACAAGATCGACAGTAACTTACCTTTTTCATCTTTATTGTTACAGAGATGGAGAAGCGATTCCAACCAGACTGATGGTTAATAACTCCAGTAAAGCAATCAGGAAGAATGTGCTCCCACGTTTCGAGCACACGGTGGAAGGTTGGAAAAGCAATGCATCCTTAGTAATCAAGATCAGGTATAAAGTAAAAAAATAAGTTGATTAAAATTAAACCATCTGGTGTTTTAAACATTGGAAAGTTGTGTTCACATCATGGAGCCAACACCCTAACGCAACTAAGTTTATCTCTTGTTGTGGTCCCCTACTAATTTACAAACAATTTCTTCAGGAAAGGAGCAAAAATAAAACTTAAGTACAAAGTAGGAAATATAACACGGTCAGTAGTTAATGTAAGGATTTTAGACCTTTACTGTATGTTGAAGCCACATTTTACCTAGCAAAGCTCTGTAGATTTCGCAGCCCAGTTAGTTTATGCCCTGTTTTCTTGATTTTGTAGTCAATTTGTGTGATCACAGGTCAAAATAGAAAAAAAAAGTCAGAGATTAACTGATTCAGGTCTTTAGCATAATAATTGTAATAGAAAATTCATTGTTACTTTACTAGTCAGCAGACCTCATTCTGCCAACCCCCCACCACCGCCAGCTACCTGACATTTAGCTGAACAATTTAAATTGTAGTCAGTACTCATTTTATGAATTACATAATTGAGTAATATGAGCATTGATGATAGAAATGTTTAATGAACCAGTATATTCCTCAGACAATAGTTGGTATTAATAGCAGCAAGTCCACAGGGCTGCAATTGAATGCGCAACATTGCTGTAAAAAAAACGTAACTGAAAGAGATTAAATCTGAAATGCGGTGTAATATAGCTGGTGGTCTAGTTTATTAGTCAGCTAGCTTGCAAAATGAATCAGAGATACAATTCAGGGGAAATACAACAGAGGAAAAATATATTTTCCTGAATGCATTTTATAATTAAATTCTGATGTTGATATCAAAGTTACAACCAAATTCAGAAGATAAAACAAGAAAGAGGAATACTTAACTCCCTCTCCCCTACCTTCAAACAACTCAGTACAGAATGTAAACTATATTAATGGACAGCTGTTTGGATATATCTAGTTATCAAAGGCTGGCTTGCTTTACATATGTATTTAAGTAAATATATAGAACTAGAAAAGAGAGTCTACATGATAGAGAAGATGCAGATACATCTATAGATTGTAAGCATTTTTTGAAGGTGAACAGCATATTAGGCACTTGATATTTTAGTTGAAGAGATGTCAGGATTACAATTCCCATCATGCTTTTTAATTTAGAATATTATGTAGCTCTTGCGAATCAAGCAAATCAGGTTTTTTTAAATACCTTTATTATTAAGATAAGTTTCTCCTTTTTTACTCTCCTGAAGTTGGGGATAAATATAATTTTGTGGGAAATGATCAATTTTTGCAAATGCTGTTTTCTGAAAAGTACCAATTTGAGAGACTCGACAATTGAAATTTTAATCTATTCAATCGTAGGGGTATCACGATCAGGCTTCAATATGTCCCTATGTAAAGGTCACAAAAGGTGATGATTTAGATGAGGTGATATGTCGTATCTTCAAGTTTGCAGAGACCATAAAGTTGGCTGGGAAGGTATACTGTGAGGAGGATACAGAGAAACTTCTCTGTGATTTGAGCAAGTTAAGTCAGTGGACAAAAACATGACAGATTCAGTATAATGTGGATAAATGTGAGGTAGCAAAAACAGGCAGGCAGATTATTATCGGAGTGCCGACAGATTGGGAAAGGGGAATGTGCAACGAGACCTTGTAAAAAAGTAAGTTGCTGAAAGTAAGCATGCAGGTGCAGCTGATGGTGCAGAAGGGAAATGGTATGTTGGCTTTTACAGCAAGAGGATTCGAGTATAGGAACAGGGATGTTTGCTGCAGTTGTACAGGGCCTTAGCATGATCATACCTGGAGTACTGTGTACAGTTTTGGTCTCCTTATCAGAAGAAGAATGTTCTGGCTATTCAGGGAGTGCAAAGAAGGTTTACCAGACTGATTCCAGGGATGGCAGGACTGACATACAGGGAGAGACTGAAATCGTTTAGGACTGTATTCACTAAAGTTTAGAAGAATAAGGAGAGGATCTCATAGAAAGCTATAAAGTTCTAGCAGGATTAGACAGAATAAATGGGAGAAGAATGTTCTCAATGGGGTCACAGTCAAAGGATAAGGGGTAGGCCTTTTAGGACAGACATGAGAAAGAATTTCTTCACTCAGAGTTGTGAGTGAAGTAACTCCATAGAGACTGGTATCCCATCACAAAGTCACCCTTTATTTACACGTGGAAAGTCCTTGACATTGATCCAGCTTCCTCAGAACCAGCTCCCTCAGAGTGAACAGTATGTCTGACATTCCTGTTCTTATCTGTCAGCCAGGGCTCCCTGATTGGAACAGTTTAACAGCCTCAACAGAGAACTCATTCTGTGAGGTCCACATGGCATGACCACATTACAATCACTACATCGCTCCCCCTCTGAGTCCGAGGACATAGGCCAATTCTTTTATTTGTAGTTCCACCTGGGGTGTTTTAGCACCAAGTGAGGTTCCTCCAACTCTGCTTCTGATACGGGCAGCATATCATGCACAGTAGCTTGCCCCTTGTGCCTGGAGTTTCTCAGAAGAAATTCATTCTATTCTTCAGGAGGCGAAAGCAATGAGACGGTGAGACGATGACATTCGTCATTTCCATCTCAGATTCTGAGGTCTCTTCAAAGGCTTGATGGAGAAGGAGAACCCATGGGTTCTGGAACAGTTGGAAAGGCTGTCGAGGAGCTGGGCACATTTTGCTCATGCACTGTTAGCGAGTTTGCACCTTTCGTATGGTCCACATGTCGCTCCTATCTGAACTTTAAACATCACTGGACCTGACCCCCTGTCAACCATGACTCTTATCCATGCAGGGCCATTCCCATGGTCCCTACACCAAACTTTTGTGCCCTGAAGTAAACTGACTCTTGCTTAGCAGAGTCTTGTGTCCAATGTTGATGTTCCTGTTGCCGTTTCCCCCATCCCACCCAGGTCTGGGAAGATCAGATTTAATCTGGTGCAGAGTCTTCTCAGCATTAGCAACCGTGCTGGAGCTATCCATGTAGTTGCATGAGGGGTGGTCCTATAATCAAATAGGAACCAGGACAGTTTGGTTTCTGGTGAAACTGTAGGCTGTTTCTTTAAGCCTGTCTTCAAAGTGTGGACTGCTCTTTCCACCTGACCATTAGACAGTGGATGGTATGGAGCTGTCTCTACATGTTGAATGCAATTCGACTTAGTCAGATTGCCTGCTGGTAAATGATGGCCCGTTATCTGTGACTAATACTTCTGGGAGTCCATGTATTTCCAAAGATGAGTGCAGTTTTTCTATCACCTGCTGAAAAATTGCACAGGCTGACGATAACCCAAACTGCAGTTTTGAATATTGGTACAAGCCGTTATGGGTAATAGCTGTAGCGTACTTCTGGGAAGCCTTATCTAAATGCAATTGCAAGCACACATGACCCATGTCTAGCTTTGTGAAGGACAGCTCCTCTGCCAGCTTTGCATATTAATCCTCTATGTGACGGATCGGGTACTAATCCAGCTGTGAAAAGCGGTTTATTGTTTGTTTAAAATCCCAACAAAGGCGAACTGACACGTCAGGCTTCACAATTGGTATGACTGATGCTGTCCATTCTGCAAATTGGACTGGTTTGATGATTCCTTAGCATTCCAACCTATTGATTTCTGCCTCTACATTTGCCCATAAGGCAAATGGCACTGGGCAGGCCTTGCAGAATCGTGGAATTGCTTCCTGGTCAACATGTAAGGTGGCCTTGGCTCCTTTGGTAGTCCCTAGCCCTTTTTCTAATCAAAAAAATGTTGAGCCAGTCTAGGTGAATCTTTCTTAACCAGTTTCACCCCGTCAGGCTTGGGCCTCAGCCTTCTACAACATCCAGCGGTAACCGAACCAGCTGCTTCTTCTAAGTTGTCCTCTTAATCTGTAAAAGTTCAGTATAGGTTCTCAATCTAGCAGAGGCCTTGCACAAACTTAAGGGTTGGAGTCCAGAGTGAATTTTGTTAAAGACCTGTTCTGCGATTAGAAACATGGCCGCACCGGTATCAACTACCATTAAAACTGGGTGACCATTTATTCACACGTTTATTTTGATTCGTTCTGATTTGGACGTTACTGAGCAATTTAACTGTTCCAAATCAGATGTAGGTGGATTTTCCAGGGTGTGCACACTTCTGGATACCGGCCTATAAATTCTTTTTCTTAGTTCAGGTCTAGAGAGAATCTTTTGCTGTCTTGTGTTCACATGTCAGCAGCAACTACAATGGTCTGCTGGCCGAGATCCCGGAGAAAATGTTAACCATTTGGCTGAGGCTTGGCTTTGTTTTGGAGTTTGGCTGTGTGCAGACCAAAAGTCCCTCTGTTCAGGATATGTCCCAAGTGAGTTTATGCAATTGCCTTCACTCAAATAGTGTTCCCCAAACTCAATCAGACTGACGAGGGTGTCCATTTCTGTCAGAATACCCTGCAACTCTTATGCACCACTTGCCACACTTTCCAATGACAAAGCCAGTTGTAGTGTCTGTTTGAACAGTTGAGCTTTAGCTAGTAGGTGCTTTTGCATGGTTACATCATTAATCCCACATACCTAATGGTGTATCAGCATCTCATTAAGGATTAAACTAAGGTCACATGTCCCCACCAGTTGTGTTAACCTCGTCAAAAATCCCGATATGGATTCTCCTGGTTCTCGAACTGCCGAGTAAAACCAATGGCATCTCAGAATTAGAGGAGGCTTGGGGGTGTAATATTCCTTAACTAAATCCATCAATTCTTGAAACGTTTTAGTATCTCGTGTCTCAGGGAAAGTCAGGCTCCTATTAACCAAAAAAGCTGTCAGGAGAACTACTCATTGCTTTTCATCTGCCCCAATGGCGTTTGTCCATAAAAAATAATGCATTATTTCCAAATACTGGGTCCAGTCTTTGAAGGCAAGATTGAATGAGTCAAGCTTCCCAAATAATGACATGATGCCAGAAATGCTTACCCCAACTCAAAGACGCCTGTGTGAGCAAATTTCTTCAGGATTGTACTTTTCGCTCATTGCCACTGAAATAACTCCACAGAGACTG